AACTGAATATGGCTCAGATGACTATTATAAGAAATTGGAGGACAGTTGGAATTAAATTACAAGTTCTGAAATTAAGTGATAAAAGAATCAATCATGGATTGTAGATTATAATTTATCTCATTAAAGGTACTTAGATGATAAATTATGAGAATATTTCGATTAGGTAAAATTACGAAATTACCCTTATGGTGGAAAATGACAAGAATTGTCTCTGGAAGTAGATTAATAAATCTGAAAAGAATTATTGATCTGCTAAAACTATTCATGTGCATAAGGAAATGTTAGTTTTACTTGGAAATTATGGATAACCGGTTTTTAACACCAAGAGGGCTTATGCAAGATACTATAAGTCTGTTAAGGAATCACTTCAAGATCAGAGAAGGTTCGGGAAAGCAATTAATCATAGGATCTCTAAATTATTATTTTCGTTAAAAGCTAATATCGAAATTATCTGGTTAAGAATTACAGAAATACCCTTAAGAGATCGAATAGTCTGAGTTAACCCTGAATGAGAAAATACTTAGAGGATTCGTACTTAAGTCGATTAAGTACAAATTTGATTGTTAAGATCATGACTTAGCAGGAAAATTCATGATATTCCGTTTGTAAAATTTGAAGACACTTGACTCGAAAATATCCGAATAATGAGTAAATACTTGAAGAATAATTTAATGGGGGTATTTTACTGTCAGAATTGTTCGAAAGGACTAAAGTAAAAGATATAAATTGGAATTAAATAATAAGACCGAATGGAGGAAAAAGATTGAAATACCGTGGATCTGTAAAATGACCAAAATACCCCTGTAATGAAAATGACTCAAGAATGTCACCAAGCTAAGGAATGATTGGATATCCTCGAGCTCTGAAATGAATGGAATAAAACTGAACATCAAAATTACCAAAATACCCTTATGGCCTAAAGTAAGTAAATGTCTTGGATTAATTAAAGAATCCAAATAAGCATAGGTATTGGCCTACCTTTAAAAGTAATGGAACACAATTTAAGTGAGTAGATCAACCCTAAAGCTATGTCAATACCTGAATGACATAGATATTACTGGAATGCGTGTTCGTCTTCTTAAGTTTGACTCGATGATAAATTTTAGAAGTATTCAACTTAGTTCAACTCTGGATCGCATTCAGTACTAAGAATTGGACGTTTGCACGACAAATCAGCCACAAAGACCAAATTGAATGTAACGGAAGTGCAGCATGTGTCTGAAAAATCAGGAACGCTTGAATTACTCTGGAAAATCCCGAAGTATCTTGAATGGACTTGAATGCTAAATAAATTAAGTAACCACAAGGACTGAGGATTGAATAAGTGAGTTGGATGAATCTGGAAATGTTAATGAACATATATGATGTAATGTTCTTATGGATTATGAATTACAAAATCAAGTACGTCAGTATTTCATGATATGGTGAAAACGTGAACATGAAATAAAGACATTAGAAGATTTATTCAACGTTAATTTCGAAAATGAAATATGAACAAGAATTTGTGGTATTAAAGGGTAAATACCCTGGAAGGAAAATGAATTGACCAGTCGACATAGATTGTTAAGGTTCTGAATCTTCGTTCTCAAGTTGTTCGATTATCCAATCAATTGACATGGATGCAAAGGATTCTGAATACCCTTCTGATTACGTACAACTTCTGAAAATTGTCCGAATAAGATATGATCCTGATAATTCACATTCTGAATAACTGATGATTCCGTCAGTTATTGAACTTTTTACAATAGTGATTCTAAATTCCGACATTCTATCGGTATACTGAAGATCCATATTTCTCTACTTTCTAAGATTATCCAGTACCTTTGAATAATATTTGTAAACTCTGGTGTGTTCCCTACTTATATGAATATTTTATCTGATTTCTGATTTGAATTCTGTTTTGACATCTGATCTGAAATCTGTTCTGATTCCTAACCTGGATTATGTTCTGATATCTGATCTGAATTATGTTTTGATTTCTGATATCTCCGTTTACCGACGGATAAATGTTTTATCTGGGGGTTTATTGTTGGAGGAAGATTATTTGCAGACTCCTCGGCTTTGTGCTCAGGGTCTAAATGGCATGTGTGGTTGGGTGTATGGTTCTGGGGAACCTACACATTTATGATGTGAACGGATGGGGGTATATATATATATATGTTTAAAAGATCTGTATCTTTTTACTGAATTTTTCGAGAACACACTAGAAAACCTATTCTGATCTCCTCAACTCAGTCATCCGAAATATTTCTCTGAACTGAAAGCTCATTGTCCGTTACCACCCGAAATATCAGTAGAATCTCTGCTCAGCATAAAAATATGTAAATGCTCAGAAGCAATAAGGAAATAAATATTTATCTGTATCTGCACGTTCATCAGCATCATCTGGTAGTTCTGTATTACTGAGCTTTCCAAAGCTCACTCTATTACTCACCTTTTCAGGTTGAAAGAATTGTACCAGTGCATCTATCGACTTCAGTAAGGGAGTTCGTCCGGCGTTGTTACAGAGTAGGGTACATGTGATTAGGGGGCATGTAATTGTATTTTGATTTATATACGAGTTTGGAAATATGTTTTATTTTTAAATAGTGAAAACTAATTTTATAAGTTACACGTTTCAATAAAAGTTTTAAATTTTCTGCTATTTTTACAATGGGTCGCTCCGGTGGCCCTAATGTGACTTCCCGGATCGGATCGGGCTACCCACATCGGTCTGGGGGGTTACATTAGATGTAATTGCTTCTCTATGTTTGTGATCTAGGTGAATATGCCTTGTTGCATTATATGTTATGAGATATGTGTTGTATGATAGTGATCTATGAGATATTGATAATAAGTCATAAGATTACATGCATATGTAATATAAGTTAAAAGATAAGAAATGATATGTTATATGCATATGAGAAAAAGGTATATGTGAACTATATGAAATGGGATAAAGAACTATGTGATGTGACTATGTGTGAAAAGGATGAATAATGTGAATTTCATGGAAAAAATTCTACGTGAAAGTAAACTACGTGACTATGTGATCATATGAAATGTGATAAAGAGCTATGTGAAAGAACTATGTGACACGAATATGTGAATGTGTAATGAGGTAAAAGATAATGCCCATGTCATGTGTTATGAGAGCTATATGTATAGTTGACATGCCAAGAGTCGAGGGTCTACGCGGTCCTTCGGGACATAGTGGTCCTTCGGGACATATGTGTTATATGTGGTCCTTCGGGAAAAATTCTACGCGCCCCTAGTGGGAATTATACGAGCTGTGGTGACAGCATATTGCACAACCTCTATGTACTCACATACCTTAAGTTCTCAGTAGTGTGCATGGGCTAACCAAAAAGATAACAATAAAATGTGAGTTGTAATGAGAAATGTGTTACATGTTTTATATGATAATATATGTGAATGTGTGTATATGTTACAGGAAAGAATGTGTGTTATGGGTTATGGCATTTGTTATGTGATGTACATGAATATATGTTAATGTATATATATGAATGAATATCAATGACTCATATGATGATGTAAGAACATGTTATAAGATATAGAATATGAAAATAAGAGATCATATGAACAAGAGATAAGAGATAGAAAGGATAATCATATAAGAGTATGAGAAAATATAAATGATGACATGTATGTGTGTATGTAATTGTTACATGAAAAAGTATGTATACAAGTATGACATTGTATTACATGATATGTACATGCATTTGATAATTTACATATGTATTTATATGTCTCACTAAATCTATGACTTAGCGTGTGAGTGTTCACACGTAGGTTCAGGAAAGCAGGAAGAGAAGCTAAGAGGAGCAAGACAGGTTAGTTTCTCCTTACCGAAGGTCAGATCAGAACCTAAATGAATAACATGTATTTTTTTATATAGAATCTAGTTGATATGTAGTTAAAAGATTTGTATTAGATACGCTCTGATCAATTTTGTAAAACCATATGTTTTATATCATAGAAAGTAAATGGTTTTATTAGAAATATCAAACTGAATCTTGGGTATTTTGTAAAAGTAAATGTTTTTGAGAAGTCAATGTGACACCTCAGACTCGTATCCGGGTCAGGTACGGGTTGGGGTGTTACATGAATGATGACATGTGGCACGACACATGATACCGATGACACATGGCATCAGTTAATTAGAGGATTAAATTTATTTTAATTTATAAAAATTAGGACTAAATTGAGATGATATGTAAATAACAAGATCAAATGTGCGATTATACAAAAATATTTAATGACAATTAACTCATAGTGATCACATCTTAATTAAATAAAAGCAAAAGTGATTATATATTATTTTTATTAAAATCAACGAGGAAAAATAAACAAAACACAAACATAGGTGATCAATTATATAGTTAATAAAATTATAGTGCACCCTTTTTCAAGTTGTATGTCGGTATGACTCAATTATGACGGAGATTTTTAATTAGTCACTGTCATTATCTTTCAAAAAAATGATTAAAGAAATTATATTTTTTCTATTTTATGAATTTTTATTTAATTATTATTAAGCCAACTAACCCTAAATAATTTGACCTATTATTCTCAATAAATTAAAAATAATATTATTCTTATAAATAACCTAAATGAGTGGGAAATGAATATATATGTATTGAAAGAAATGTTTACCAGAGATAGCTTCTGGAGTAACAAAAATAATAGGGTAAAGTACAAATTTAGTACCTAAACTATCACTTTTATTCCGATTTAGTACCTAAACTTTCATTCTTTTCAAAATCATACCTAATGTTTACTTTTTGTTTCATTGTAGTACCCTGCCGTTAAAAATTTAGTTACTAAAATGAAACAAAAAATTAACGGTGGGGTATTAAAATGAAACAAAAAGTAAACGTTAGGCATTGTTTTAAAAAACTAAAAGTTTAGGTACTAAAATGAAATGAAATTGATAGTTTAAACACTAAATATATAGTTTAGCCAAAATTATATTGTACATACTTTATTTGGTACCCAAAACCAATGGGACATTGATGAAGTTAAGCACGAAGACCTTTACAACCAGGGAGATCAATCCACTCGAGCTGAAGCTCCACTTCACCAGTCTCCACATTTCTCAATCTGAGGCAGAGGTCTTGAAGAACCTTGCCATCCCTCAAAACCACGGTGGTGGCTTCGGCCAAGCAGTTTTTCCTGCTCGGTTGCACCTTTGCCAATATGGTCCCGTCGGGGAAGTCTGCGTAATCCATTCTCAAGCCTTCTATGAAGGCCTTTATGTCGAACTCCGCATCACCCATCTCGTCATCCTTGCTAAATCTGTCATAGTCGTACACATTCTGCAATCAAATAACCAAACTTTGAAATTGATGGTATAAAGGAAATGGTAACTAAAAGACTTACGAGATGGGAGTTTTGTTGTCTCTTGAGATCATGGGGGTTAAATAGTTACCTCAATATAGTGTGATTTTAATGATTAAGAAGAATTTCGAAGAAATTCTAAGTTTAGTTACCGGAACTATTAGAAAAAGAGTAAAGTAAAAAATGATCATCGACTATAAGAAATGCTTATTTACAAAAAATGATCTTTCGATTATAATACGTTGCTTTGTTAAGTCCTTCAACTATTAAAAATTACGAACTAGTCATTCAATTCATATATTCTAAAATCGTCTTTTTCATTAAAAAAATTAGCAGTCGTCTGAACTGGACGTTAACCTGATGACTCATATATGATAGTTGTTTGAAATTTTGGGATCAAATTTTATCGTATTATTAGACTGTCATTAATTTTTCAGTAAAAAAATGACGAATTTAGAACATATAAATAGTCGAGTGACTATTTCATAACTTTTAATAGTCAAGAAAATTAACAGAGTAACATATCACAGTTGAAGTATCATTTTATAACATTTTATAATCGAGAGACTCAACAAAACAACATGAGACCACTTATGTATCTTATAAAAAAAGAGACTTACAAGTTGGATTGACATTTCGGGATCTCTTATGGAAAGAGTTAAATCTTCATCCCACACAGGATTAACATCCCCTTCTATTACTTTAGTCTTGAGTGACTGCAAGAAATGTAAGAATTAGAAAAATGTCCAACCATGAGTTACAGTAAATGACAAGTATTTAAATAGTTGTCCTCGATAGCAGTAGTGTCCACAATATAACGGTAACAGTACAGATCACGACAGTTATTATATTACCACGATACTCGTAGTCACAATAATAATGTCTTTCATATATATAATCACGATAAATATGATACGATAAAAAACACGACCGTAACTGTAATTTGAGTCGTGTATAAACAGGGGTTAAGTTGATCATTGAAACCTGATTGCCCATCCTAAAGTTAATGTAAGGATCGCTGGTACGGACGTCCCGAACCGCAAGGTTTACGCCCCGTTTTACGTGAATCCTCAATAAACCCAACAATTCCTCCATGCCTTTTATCTCCAAAAGATCATGTATCTTCTTCTTCTTCTTCTCTAACAATATAGATGTATATATTCAGACAGAGAAGGTACGAGGTTACATTGGGACCCACCAGATGTGTGTTGGATTTGAAATCTTGAGGGGGGTTAGATATTGGGGATGGGTGACCGGTAGAGGCGGTAACCTGTACGGTAATAAATTGGAGGAATCGGTCTTTCCTTCTCTATCAACCGTTAGAATAAGCTACAACCGAGTCGTAACTCACGCCTTTTGTGCATGAGCATGTGGTCTGAAATTACTAGTAAATATAAAGTGAACTTATTGTATAGTAATATACACAATAAATTCAGTTACTTATTAATATATATATATATATAACTATCAATTAATCTCGTATGAATCAAACGATTTCAATAATTAAAAAAAATTATTATTATCTTAGAGATCCTGAATACCGACAAGCATAAAAATATTTATTATTAATTAATTGAGAGTATTGGAATAAATATTATATTATATTTATATAAGAATTATAAAAAAAAGAAAAAGAAAATATGAGCGTTTTTCGTTTATTACTTCGTAGAGTTAAAATGGGAACAAAAACGGAAATTATATTATTTTCTCATTACATCCAAGAAAAATTAAATAAAAGTATTCTATTGAAAAGTTATGAATAATCTTATAAACGTGCACATTTAACTCACATATTTAGTTTTATTTTCTATTCTCTAATCGTTTCAATTTAAAATGATTTACTAAAAAAACAACATGAGATTAAACTACTGAAAGATTACAAATAATCACCTATCAAAATCGAACGCCGCAAAAAAAAATATCTACGAAAGCAAATCGCGTATCCAAGTCCAATCTGAAAGTCTAAAGTAGGGAAGATCAACAGGCAATGAAGATCAACATGCAATCTACAGTAATAACATGACAAATCATTTGTTATATTTAAATTATTAATTTAACCCATCTATCATGTTATCTATCACGTTATCAACCCCTTAAACTGTTACATCAGTGTTATAATGGTTAATGGCGAAAAATATTGACCAGTACCATTTTTTCAAGTTATAAATCTAATCCTAAACCTATCATTGCCATTCGTTTCCCATTAATATCTGCGTTTCTCGAATGTCTTTATGTTATATTAGTGTTCTTCGACCTAACAAGCTGCCCCATGTCAATTAGACATCAACACCACTTTCACGTCATGTACCAATCAGCAAGTCATAAAATTAATCTTAGTTTTTCATCTCTTCTTGCAGAAAATGTTAGAATGTTTGACAGAAGTAGAGCTGGAAGCATTGCTTGAACATGTTGAAGCAGACAAACAACAGCAAGCAAGTGAGAGCAGGTTAATTGAAGATATTTACATTCTAATATCCTTTTACAGGCTGCATAATATGTAATATTGTATATTTTCATCACTAGGCAGAGATTTCCCACAGCCAACATGTGTTGTAAGTAGGGATGGACACGAAACCTGAACTTAATGAGTTTTGATCCGACTCCATTGGATCGAGTTATTTTAGAGTTCAGATCAGATTAAGATTTTTTAGATTATGTATTCCAATTGGGTCGGGTCGGATTTATAGTGAAAAATACTCAACTCAACTCAATCGAAAATAATATAATTTTATCTTATATTTAAGGATAATTACAATGATACCCCTACTCTATATTATTTTTCAATTAGGTCCATTTTTCCTAATATAATTAATATTTTTATAAAATATTTATTTCAGATCTGATCAATTCAGGTTTTATCTCAAAAAGATGAGTCGAGTTTGGGCCAGGTGAAGTCATCCTAAACTCTGATCGAGTCTAATTTCGAGTAGAGGATACATATTTTCAAGTAGGATAAGATTAGCCAAAAACTCAACCGATGCACATCCCTAGTTGTAAGTCATGTAAAATTTACATGTATGATTAATGCAACGGGCATGCAAACCCTTACCATACAATTGAATTTTAAAACCTCCTCCTCAATCTCACAATCTTTGCATTCAACTCAATAACCAACAAAGAAAAAGAAACAGAAGTCGAGAACAAATCACTGGAAAACTGATAAGACACATTACCCTCTAAATGAAATAATTAAGATTCAAACTTCAGAGTCGACGTCATCGTCGAAAATGACAGTTACGAGCCTCGGAAATAAACAAGGCAAAAATAATCTACAGCTTAAAGATACATAGATGATCTATAAAGTTTCCCTTGTATGCTATAAACAATACATTCTCAGCTTTAGTGAACCTTCACATGCAAAGTTGAAAACAAATATAAATAAGTTCTCTATAGCACCAGACATTAATCAATCCTCCCTCTCTCTTCCTCTTTCCATTGTCATTTTACTTTTTCCTTGTCTTCTAGACTAGGAAAAATAGCAAAGGGTTCCTTTTTTTTCCAATTTTATTTTGTTTAAAGCCAAAACAAAATATCAAATGTAGCAAAACTCATCTGTTCCTTTCCACTGATCAAAATGCAGGTGGTGCTATCGGAATAGCCATTCCGACTACATTCTCAACGGCTCCACCCGCTTCATAAAGTATTCTGGTCTGCAAGCAGCAATGTCTCTCGAAGATTCAATGCTTGTTGGCTTGTCCCAGGGCCCCAGTGCAAACCTAGGTACAAAAAAGAAATACGAACTTTAGTCTTAAAAGAAAATGAACCAATAAACAAAAAGGGTAAAAAGTACACAAATGGTCTCCTGACTATAAGATGTTTTTTTTTGAGTCTTCGACTATTAAAAGTTACAAAATGATCATCCGACTATTCATATGTTCTAAACTTGTCCTTTTCCGTTAAAAGAATTATGGCAGTCTGAGTTGGACGTTAACCTACTAATTGGAATATGATAAAATATAATCCCAAAATCTCAAACAACTATACAACTTAAACGATTTTGGATCATATCTTAATCAATAGATTAACGTCCAGTTCAAACAATCATCAAATTTTCAATGGAAAAAGACGAGTTTGAAATATATGAATAGGTGGATGACCATTTTGTAACTTATAATAGTCGAGGGACTCAACAAAACAACACCCTATAATCGGGAGACCATTTATGTACTTTATCCTAAACAAAATATACAATCCATATTTTTTTTCGCCAATTCTTTCAAATGTAACTCAATAATGATCCGTACTCCGTAGAGAATTCTAGAAAACATGCATAATGACAGTATTTAAACTTGGCTCCTAATAAATATATGAAATAGTATGAATAATGTGGTTTGAACACAAATTTTAACGCTAACTGTCCAAATTGCTCTCTTGGAAAATTACTTGCACACAAAAGACACATTGGCCAAAAGAACCATCGATATTAAAAAGACCTGCTGAATGATCTATCTTCTCATCATAATACTAGGACTTGAGGCTAATGAGTTGTTCATGCTCTTGCAGATTAAATTTTTTAACTTATAAAGGATGAGAATGAGAAAGTAAAACACCATAAGAATAAAGGCTGCAAGAAGATCACATAATCCAACAAATAATTCCAAAATGAAGCAATAAATGGTACCATCAAATCATGGGGACTAAAAAACGGTGCCAACCCATTGTTGCACCAACTCTTCATTTTCCACGAAGTACCAATGTCCAATATGCATATGAATATTTGCGTTTCCGAAGATTCTCCAAGTACATGGAAAAACTTTTAAAAAATTGAATATTCTCACCCCGGACACATACTAGATGTTTATACTCGGATATAAGTGCCACCATATAAAAAATTTCTTGCTTCAATATGTAGGTTAGTCAGGGTTAAGAATATGTTACAATCAATATGCTTGAATGCACTTAAAAACAAGAATCATAGGAATAAATTATACCTCCTAGAGTAATGCTTGCTATCTCCTACTAATTTTTGGTTTAAGCCTCTTGAAAGCCATAAATGTAACTGCAGCAGACAGAGAATACCTGCAGAAAATGGGATAGATACCAGGTAACAGGTATGATAGGAGAAAAAGAATTAGCCTTAAAATTTTGAGATAAATTTGCCTTTTCACTAATGAGATAATGAGGTGACACCATGATATACTTCAGAAAAAGCCAAAAATGGCAAGAATGTTCTCAAAATAAAGTTTAGCAAAAGGCATACAGAAATCTAAATAATACGAACACTTGCATGTTTCCTTACCACAGTCCATCAAACGACCATATATACGTCTCTACCGATGAAAGTAGAAGGATACATGAACCATTATGACCCATCATAAGACATTTTAATGAAGCGAATTTTGCAAAAGAAATAGTTTTTGGCTAATGCAAAATCTTGAACACACAAGGTTTTACATACAATTCGTTGAGCTTTAATGGAGCTTTCTCAATTTAAAAACTACAAGAAATATATATATACACACACACACACATATACACACAGATATATATGTGAAAATCCTTGAGGCATAGCTGATTCTCAACCCAAATGCAACTAACCTATGCACATTTCTACAAGATTGCAATTTGCCAAGTAGCTCAAGAAAATAAACCTGAGACTCCCCCAACATATTCGCATCCTACTCAACAGATAATTATTCGGTAAACAGTAACCTTTTTCCTCTTTCACAGAATTGTTTAAGAATATTTGGCTGTCCAAACTGCAGAATTTTTTTGGCACTATATTGTTTTTCATATTATTATCAGGTTTGGCTTAAAGGTACCAGATACAGATAGTGTCACAAAATGAAATGCTTGTAGTCACTGAAGACGGAATTATGATGTAGTGAAACAGCTGAAAAATACTCCATTATGATAATCATATTATGATGTCGAATTTTAAGAAAAGGGAGCAAGAAGTTACCAGGAATTATGTGCTCATTAATAGAGTAAAATTCGTGAAACTGAAGCTAAATCATATTCTATTTCATATCAGGATGCTTCCTAACAAAACAATCTCAGAATGTATAATTATCCAAATTATCAGTAGTGGAGCCAAAATACATTCCTAAAAGTGGCAAAATCTCCCATAACAAATTGATGCTAAAAAAACAACCATGATAGCTAAGTAAACACACCAGCATCTAGACCTTAAACCTACTTCAAAACCAAGTAATTAGAATTGTACCCAGTCCAAAAAATTGAAAGGTTCCTTAGGGCATTTCCAAAGAGGCAGGCACAAATATTAAGTACATGTCTACTAATTTTAAATATAATGACAAAAAAAGGAATAGTTGAAGCATGTATAGAGGTGCGTGTCAATACACAGCCGCTTCAAGTTGCCTTGAGGCATAAAGAAGAAGGCATTTGCAGCAAGATAACAAATAATGAATGAAGAAAAAAGGAATTAATTTGCTGATGTTGTGTTAGACTAGACTAAATGCAGTTTAAAGCAACAGGCATGACTTCTCTTTTGATTTCCCAAAGAAGAGGCTGTCTTTGCCCAAAAGTTGCTAAATTGAATCAGTACAAAATTTATGCCACAGGAAAAATATAAAAATGATTATATATCTTTATAATAATTTATTAACATAACTGTTTTCATCAAGATATTTACATTGCTTTATTCAGTTCATATAACCTATTCATTATTTACATTTGCTAATTCAGATTTGTTTAAATTCTAATTACAAATAAAGTATTATATGCATAACCTTAACATGTTGTCCATTTTAAAAGAACAGATAGACTGAATGTTTGCTCTACTTCAACGCAATCACAAGAAATCAAAACTATTCTAATGCAGGAAGGACAGGGAACGAGCATGCAGAATAATATAAAATATCCTTTGGATCATATAACATAGTGACTCATACCATGTCAATGTATAATTTAGATGATCTTGAGGCATAACTGAACTGTGAATCAAGGAATTGACATCCTTTGGAATAGGATAAGGGTTGCTTGGATTAAAATTTTCATTGATGTCTTCAATTAAAAGAGTATCCTTCGGAAGCCCACAAGAAACAGCAATTGCTGGAACATCAACATAGAACCACTGTCCAGAATTTGGATCATTTGCTGGAACAAATATGCTTGGCTTTTCACTACCCCGGGCAACTCCAATAACTTCCACAGAAGTAATAGCAGAGGCTTGATCCTGTATTCCAGAAAAAAATTAGACTTTTTCTTCTAAGATATGCCATTGATATCAACCAAGGCATTAAGGGATAATAAGAGACAACCTTAACAGTTTTTTGCTTCTTGGACTGAAATATTCTCCACCAACTTTGTTCATTCGGTGGGGCAGGAACAGCATCCATACTTGAAGACTTCTCCCTGTCTTCTGGAACTTCAAAAGATTTGTCTCTCCAGCTGCGTGGGACCCATCCTCTATTTACAAGAACTGGTGATTGAACACTGAAAGTGCACTTAAATTAGTCAAATGGAAACATAGCAAGCAATCCCATGCATCAGAAAGGAACATGAAGTTCAGCACCAAATAACAATTTAACCTACCTATAAAGGGAAAATACCACATAACGAAGGTAAGGTAGAATCTAAAAGACTTCCCCATTGTAGCTTGCAGCTTAGCTCACTATTTTGCGACAAAAGTATAAAGCAAAGCAGGAAAAAAAACAACATTTTCTAGACTTCACTTTTTTAGTACTTTATTTATTTATTTATTTGTTTGTTTGTGTGTATGTGACATGTGAGTGTGTTTGGGTGTGCGGGGAGTAAAATGACACAAAATTGAAGCACCTAAGTCCCTTATAGTCGGGTTACTTTTGAAACATTTTAAAAAGGGTTTTAATACATGCCAACAAGCTTAAATAGGTTTAAGGGATCCTAGATAGACACACTAGTGAAAATGTCAAGCTTGTCCAGACTCCAGAAGCAAGGACTTTAGTTAAGAGATTCTGTAACACCCCAATAATTTCAACCACCCAATAATAAATCATATCTTATGGTACCATAGTGGGCTAGTGGGTCCTGTAAATTAAATTTGTTTTGTCTGCAATCTTCTTCGTTATCTCATAAAATAGTAGTACCAATATTTTATATTACATAGCATTCATAAAACACCAAAGCACCAAATCCCATTATATCTCCACTGTCTCTTTGATATTGTACATTTTTTCTTGGGGTTCGAATATTATTTCTTATTTTTTTTAGATTCAATTGTTTTGATTCTTTTGGAACCCAATTTTGTTTTCTCGTCTACTGTGAGTTTCTGATCTGATTCTGGATTTTATTTTCCAAGTAGAGTTTACGCAATTACTTCTGAATCTGCTTCCATTCATTGTTTATGGGCGTTTAAATGGTGGTGCAAAATCATGATCATTTCGAAGCTTACTTCAAGAAAACAGATTAGATGGAGATGACAGAATTAGTGGACCTGGGGCTATTGTATTTTCAAAGATCCGGTTTGTCCAAACAAGTCCTCGCGCAGTAATGATGATGACGTCCGGTGAGCGTCGACTGGGTCATTTGAACCTTGCCTGCAAACCAACAACCAATATCATTCGTAACGTCGGTGAGAGATGGGGGTTTGTATTTTAGCGTTTCAGACATCGATAGGAAGATCCGTGCTTTGGAAAGCTTGGAGTGGTTGTAAGGAACGACATAACTTGGTTTTGGCTTCATCGGACAGTAACTAGAAGCATATCAGATTGTTTTACTTTGAAAAAAAACCCGAATGGTTTTTGTAAGATTTGTGGCGATCGGTGATGTTTTTGGATGATCGGAGGTCGGATTCTTGATGAAGAGTTTGATGTGATTCAAACCATGTATGTTAGTTCTCGGACGACGACCAGTGACGACGGTTGATACGATGGTCGTCGGCGTTCAACTACCTATCAACGAGGCTTCCTTGTTCATCTGCAGAATATGGCCTGAAGCTTTAAAGATTAAATAAATGAATGAAAAAGAAATGGGGTCTGCCACCGCACGAGAATAGGTACTGGACAAAGAGTGCTTAAAAAACTGTCACTTGAATTATTATATGGGTATCACGTGGGTTTTTGTTGAAAAAGTGCAAAAGGGGAAATTACAAGGTAAGCCATCCAAGTTGTTAAAAGCTCAACCTTGTCTCTTAGTTTTTATGGTGTTATGATTATGGCATAATAGTTTTATTAAGATCGATTTAGTCCTTAATTTTAGTAATTAAAAATTATATTGACTCCTAAATTTTTAGTTTTAACAATTGGGTCCCCAGATTATTATTTGGATTCTAATAAGTTATTTTTTTATGACGAGGAAAATTGTTTGAAGACGTATTTGTACGATAGATTGTTCGTGTTCGTTAGAAAAGATTGAAAGCTAGAAATCAAGTTGGTGAGCTGGAATTCAATAGTAATATTTTAGGTTTTGTTGACGTCTTGAGTTCAATTCCGAAGTCCGTTTCGCCAAATTTGAACCCGGTAAGCTATTTTTCACTAATTAATCACATGATTCGATCCGTTTTTCGGAATTAAGCTCCGTTTTTTTTATATAATTTATGTTGATATGTATCTGAGGAATTATTGGAAGTTGAATTGAAGATCAAAGGCATTCGAATGGAATTTTTATGGTCGATCAGTATTGCACGAAAATCGAGGTAATACTTTACTACCTCTTTATGCTTTATGGAACATGTTGGTATTGATAAATGCATGAATGGAAATGTTTGGTCTCATATGTGTAATTAATGAAGATCTACACTAGTTATGAATACGGTAGAAAGTAGATAACTGAATATGGCTCAGATGACTATTATAAGAAATTGGAGGACGGTTTGAATTAAATTACAAGTTTTGGAATTAAGTAATAAAAGAATTAACCATGGATTGTAGATTATAATTTATCTCATTAAAGGTACTTAGATGATAAATTAAGAGAATATTTCGATTAGGGAAAATTACGAAATTACCCTTATGTTGGAAAATGATAAGAATTGTCTCTGGAAGTGGATTAATAAATCTGAAAAGAATTATTGATCTGCTAAAACTATTGATGTGCATAAGAAATGTTAGTTTTACTTGGAAATTATGGAGAACCGGTTTTTAACCCCAAGAAGGTTTATGAAAGATACTAGAAGTGTGTTAAGGGAATTATTTCAAGATCAGAGATTGTTCAAGAAAGCAATTAATCATAAGATCTCTAAATTATATTATTTTCGTTAAGAGCTAATATCGAACTTATCTAGTTAAGAAATTACGGAAATGCCCTTAAGAGATAGAATAGTCTGAGATGACTCTGACTGAGAAAATACTTAGAGGATTCGTACTTAACTCGATTAAGTACGGATTTAATTGTTAAGATCCCGACTTAGTGCAGGAAAATTTCTGATATTCCGTTTGTAAAGTCTGAGAAGACACTTGACCTGAAAATATTCGAATAATGATTAAATACTTGAAGAGTAATTTATCGGGGGTATTCTGCTGTCAGAATTGTTCGAAAGGACTGAAGTAAATGATAAGATTGAATTAAATAATAAGATCGGATGGAAGGAAAAGATTGAAATACCGTAGATCTGTAAAATGACCAAAATACCCCTGTAATGGAAATGACCCAAGATTATCACCAAGCTCATGAATGATTGGATATCCTCGAGCTCTGAAATGAATGGAATAAAACTAAATACCAAAATTACCAAAATACCCTCATGACCTATACCAAGTAAATGCCTTGGATTAATTAAGGAATCCAAATAAACATAGGTATTGGCATACCTTTAAAAGTAATGGAAAACAACTTAAGTGAGTAGATCAACCCTAAATCTATGTCAATACCTAAATAGCATAGATATTACTGGAATGCGTGTTCGTCTTCTTAAGTTTGGCTCGATGATAATTTTGGAAGTATTCAACTCAACTCAACTCTAGATCGCATTCAGTACTATGAATTGGACGTTTGTTAGTCAAATCAACCATGAAGACCAAATCGAATGGAATGGAAGTACAACATGTATCTAAAATTCAGTAACGTCTAAATTACTCTGAAAAACCCCGAAGTAACTGGAATGAATTTGACTGCTAAATAAGCTAAGTAACCTCAATGATCGAGGATTAAGTAAGTGAATTGGATAAGTCTGGAAATTTTGATGAGTTTATAAGATGTACTGTCCTTATGGAACATGAACTACAAATCAAGCACGTCAGTATTTCATGATATCGTGGAAGCTTGGAAATGAAATAAAGATCATTGGAAGATCTATTCAGCGATGATTCTGAAGGTGATCTATGAACAAGAATTTGTGGTATTAAAAAAGTAAATACCCTGGAAGGGAAATGAATTGACCAGTGGATATAAATTGTTAAGGTTCTGAATCTTCGTTATCAAGTTGTTCGATTATCCGATCAATTGACATGGATACAAAGGATTCTGAATACCCTTCTGATTATGTACAACTTTTGAAAACTGTCCGAATAAGATATGATCCTGATAATTCACATTCTGAATAACTGATGATTCTGTCAGTTAATGAACTCTTCCAATAGTGATTCTAAATTTCAATATTCTATCGTTAAACTAAAGATTTGTGTTTCTCTGCCCGATAAGATTATCCTGTATCTCTAAAAATATTTGGAAACTCTAGTGTGTTCCTTACTTATATGAATATTTTATCTGATTTCTGATTTGAATTATGTTTTGACATCTGATCTGAAATCTGTTCTGATTCCTAACCTGGATTCTGTTCTGATATCTGATCTGAATTATGTTTTGATTTCTGATATCTCTGTTTACCGACGGAGAAATGTTTTATCTGGGGGTTTATTGTTGGAGGAAGATTATCTGCAGACTCCTCGGCTTTGTGCTCAGGGTCTAAATGGCATGTGCGGTTGGGTGTATGGTTCTGGGGAACCTACACATTTATGATGTGAACGGATGGGGGTATATATATATATATATATATATGTTTTAAAAGATCTGTATCTTTTTACTGAATTTTTCGGGAACACACTAGAAAACCTATTCTGATCTCCTGAACTCAGTCATCCGAAATATTTCTCTGAAACGAAAGCTCATTGTCCGTTACCACCTGAAATATCAGTAGGATCTCTGCTCAACATAAAAATCTGTAAATATCTGAACCAATAAGGAAAATATGTTTATCTGTATCTGCACGTTTTTCAGCATCATCTGGTAGTTCTGTATTACTGAGCTTTTCGAAGCTCACTCTATTACTCACCTTTTCAGGTTAAAAGAATTGTACCAGTGCATCTATCGATTTCAGTAAGGGAGTTCTTCCGGTGTTGTTGCAGAGTATGGTACATGTGATTAGGGGGCATGTAATTGTATTTTGATTTATATACGAGTCTGGAAATATGTTTTATTTTTAAATAGTGACAAATGATTTTATAAGTTTACATGTTCTGATAAAATGATTTAAATTTTCCGCTATTTTTACAATGGGTCGCTCCGGTGGCCCTAATGTGACACCCCGGATCGGATTTGGTTACCCTTATCGGTCTGTGGGGGTTACAGATTCAGCTGTAAATACTTAGTGTAATTCTAATGAATAATGTAAAGTCTGAAATACCATTATGTAATTCTTCAGAACATGCTTATCACACAAAAATTAGGAAGCTTCAAAACTTTCAGATTAATTGTCTTACTTGAGTGTCATATAAAGTGTTACCTGGAATGTGGAACGGTCCAGTACGAGGAGCAAAAATTGAGACATAAATTGTTGCTTGTTTGAAATGTAATTATATAGGGGTAGTCTTCTTCATTTCATTTAGTAGGAACAAAATATGGGTTTTCAGTTCGTTTAGTAAAAACGAAATACAATTCATTGGAATAAAAAATGTTTTTTACATATTATATATTTCAATTTAATAAAAATAATTAATTTCCATATAGTTAATGCTTAAAATAATTAAGTTAATTTATTTTAATCAATAAAATATTAAATTACTTTAAAATTTAAATTTTAGTAATAATTAACAACTTTAAAATACCCATGTTTATTCAAGAAAGAGAGATCAATAGAGGCTGCCACGATTTGGTTTTGTTCATCTACCATAGAGCTGCTGCCCTCTTTATCAGTAATCATTTTATCTATTCCTTCACACATTTGATGAAACACTTAGAATTTGGTTTCGATAATAATTTTGTCAATATGCTGCAACAGACAATCAAGCATTTGCTCTATCTTTGCTCGTATTTGATCGTGCTCCTTTGCTTAGTTCTACTCGCCACTCTATCAACCAATATTCTATCATTGCTAAGGATTGCTGTCTCTTAATATCAAATTGTTAAGATTGTATGTTCTGGATAGATAGTTCAACTTATCAAAGGTAGAGTGAAAACTTTCAGCTCATCAAAGGGACACTAAAACCTTAGTACTCAAGTCCCTTTAAAAAAGAACAAGGCTCATTACATAAATAGAAAACCTATTCTAAAATGGAAATAAATTAACTGAAATAAAAATATAGTCCAAAAACCTAAGGAAAGAAATAAAAGCATGATCTTGGACTTGATTAAAGAACCAAATTAACAGCCTTTCCTGACATAGATCCAGTCAGTAACTTATATAATCTTCATTCCTATTCATTATCTTCTCTACTAATTCCAATAAATATGCTTAAAGATGATATCAATGAAGAGAAAAAATGAAATTAATGCTAAGGTGTTCAGGATATAACTGGAAATATAAAAATTGACGAGAATATTTATATAGAACAGAAAATTAACATTAATTACCTCTCAGCATCACCAGGGATTCGCATTAAGGGAGTAATGACATAGTAGCCATTTTCAGTCACTCCACAAATGCTTCTAGAACGAGGCCCAATATAGATTGACCTTCCATTGTCAAAAACTCCTTTGCACACAACTCGCCTAAACTCCAAAGTTTCCAATATCTCACTCGAATGAGACATGCCATTTAGTTTCAAAGGTTCCATTTCCAACCTTTTCAGTCTATAATCCAACACCTTTATCTGGATGAAGTATAATGAGAAAATTATAAGAATGCAATTCTGAAAAAAAAAACTGAAAAACAATCCTAAAGGGAACACAGATGAGAGCAATACATGCAGCAAGTTGAGTGCACATGTTTCTAAATGATGAAACATTCCAGTTAGACACAAGGAAAAGGATTTCCATAGACTGCAGCATAAACCAGAAAAGCACATGACTTTAGTGTCATGATCGATTGAAAATGACAGGTGACTATGCTTATAATGTATATGGTACATAAACAAAGAAGATTGGTGAAATAATAGATGTATGCCAAATTATATATCGTTCATTAATGCATTAGATTTCTTAGACTATTTTATTTATTCAAATGGTCTACCTATATCATGAAAGTACTTTATGCCAAAAATAAAAAAGTTGGAACATAAAATACGAATTATTAATCTTCCAAATTTCAGGTATAAATGTAAATAAGAGCACCTTTAGGGGTATGTTTCTAATAAAAAAACTATGGACTGCTATTGGCTGAGTGCTTAAGTTAGCTGGCCTTGGGCCTTGGGCCTTGGGGTGTCTGTCAGATATGAATATGTATATAAAACAAATATACTCAATTTATTTTAAGGTTCTCCATATATTTGGAGAATCGTATCCCATAAAGCATACCTATGTCTGAATATGTGTAGAAGAAGACGTAGAAACACGAGAACTTCTGAAAAGTCTAGGTAAAGTTGGCACATCTAATTCTAATTTTGTTCAGTCAACAAATTCGATTAAATAGCAATAGGGCAGTCTATCTTTTCTTGCTATAGAAGCCAAACAATTATCATTTATTTGAGCCCTGTTTCTTCAAAGAAGCAAATTCGAAAATTGATATTTAAACAATAAACAAAACTAGCATCAAGAGCATTTTAATTGATCAATTCCTAGAGCAATTCAAACTCACTAGAAAGGTTGTAAATGTTAAAATACAGAAGAATGGTTGGGGCAGACCCAAGCAATCAAGCATAACATAAAAAGAAAAGGGCACTGAAACAATGATAGAGATAGAATAAGAAGACATCAATACATAGGTCCTAGAGACTAGCAGAAAAATGCAGGGCAATGAATGGAATGTAAAAGAAAAGGGGTAAGAATAGTTGACCTTGTCTTGCCTTCTGAAAATCTGCCAAGTTCCAAGGCCGAAAGTGATAGCTCCGGGAAGGAAAAGAAACCATCTTGTCCATTTTGATCCTTTCTCTTTATCTGCCAAACATCAACAAATGATGATGGAAAAAATCCTATGTCATTAAACCCTACAAAATTCCACATGTGAAAAAACACGTGATAAAGTTAAATACCATGAGGAGATTGGGAAGAAGAAGAGGCGGCGGCGGAGGCGGCGGTATCAGCAGAAGAGGTGGAGATATAGGAGGAAGAAACGGCATAGAAGGCCCCAGCAGGGCGGGGTCTCGTTAGGGTTTTGGAAATGATAGCCGTCTTTGCTCTCAAATTTGAAGCCATTGCCAGCTACCTTCCACAGTTTCACCACTATGTTTTTGACCCTCTGGAAAAAAATTAAATTTTCAAGGGTTTTGGGGCCTTTAATTGGGAAACTCTCTTGGAAAAAAAAACTTTTAACTCAATGTAAAAGCTGGGCGTTCGGGTTGGATTGTTCAATTATTATTAAAAATTATAAAATAGTCCCTCAAATTATAAATAATTACTTTTTTAGTCTCTCAACTATTAAAAGTTACAAAATAATTGATTGGCTATTCATATGTTTTAAACTCGTTTTTTTTTATTAAAAAGTTAACGATTATCTAAGCTAGATATTAACTAATTAACTAAGATATGATAAAATCATATTTTTAATAAATTCTATTGGTATCGTCGTTGTTTTTCAAGCATCGGCTCTACAGTATAATGCTTGAAGCAATAACTCGACGATATAATGTAAATAGAGACTAGATCCATAAAATCTAGCTCAAACAGTTATGTGATTCATATTCCAGTGACAGGTTAACGTTCAACTCAGACGAATGCCAATTTTTTAACAAAAAAAAAAGATAAGTTTAGAACATATGAATAATCAGGTGATTAATTTTGGCAGACTTGATGTTGATTACATTGTCCAAGCTCTTACTTCACCATACGAGAGAGACAATTCTACCACATACACTGATAATCTAAATAGAAAATGATGTGATTAATGTCAATTTAAAGCTTTTAGATTCCTATACGCTCACATTGTTGCTATATGTATGCACATTAATATTAATCATAATCTTATGTTGATGGTTGTTATAGCCTGCAAACAATGCGTAACATATATAGTTATGAGTTTAAGTATCTCCTAAATGATACTATTGACTTGCAACAACTATTTCTAAAGAATTTTTAATAAACCCATAATTGCATAGAAAGTTGATGGTCGACCTGAATTTAACTAAATTCGTATTGATATGAATGATCCTCAAAGAGAGCAAAATCTACTAAAGTTTTGTGATAACTACAGAGGTGAAGGTCACAACATAAAGTATTGTTCGAATCATCTAAAATATCGATATGGACGATAAAATCTTCATAATTGTGTTTAGTTCATATTTTTATTTGTATATTTTTTAACTGTGTTTATGCACTTATGTAAATTTTGTCTTTAGCTTTATACTTTTCAGATTTTACTTTTTTATGTGTTTATGTTTTTTTTTTCATAAATAACTTCATTTGATACAATAATTACTTAATCAGTAAAGACAAGTTCATACATATATTTAAACCATCAATATTAACGTTTTTTTTAACCATTATTTTTTCAGCCATCTCTACAATTCGTTTACTACATCGGATTGATAAGTCTTCATATTTGTCTTTTGTCTTCTTCTTATGAAATTTTATACTATTGTTTTTATTTTTTTCCTCTCTCTCTACAAGTCATATGTTATGTTAGATTGGTAAGTTTTTATATTTCTTCTCGATTTTCATCATCCTATACAACTCTTCTTCAATTTTCTTCCTCTACTTATATTCCTCAACTACTGACTTTAACCACTCCTCATCTAAAGAGGAGTTTGAATCTGAATTGTCGGAGTCAGAGTTGTCAAACCCATAAATATCGTTAACCAAATCATACACAAATTAATCCTATCGATTCATGATTTGACAAATTCTTTAAAACACAATTTTTTCTTTATCAATAAATCATATATAATCCCTTAAACTCCAAACGCCTATTATACTGAGAGAAATTTATCACTTCGAGGTGATAAGTTTCCCCCAACTAGCCGTTTATGTAATACCCCCAACCCGTACCCGACCCGGATACGAGTCCGAGGGGTCACATTGACTTTTCAAACTTGGACTCATGACAAAAACTCGAGAAAATTTAAAACTTTCATTAAAGTCACATCGGTTTGTTTAACTCAATCAATTAGTACATGTCAACTATATTCAATATACAGAATACATCTAATTCAAGACATCTTTTCTAATCTGATCTTCGGTAAGAAGTAACTGACCGGTCTTGCTCCTCTTCACTTTTCTTCTAGCTTTCCGGAACCTACGTGTGAAACACTCACACGCTAAGTCGATGACTTAGTGAGGCATAACAACATATAACCACTACTAATGCATTCATAATCTATACTTATTATATCATACAAAATCATACATTCTGTCATGCAACCACTATCCACTTGTACACACACATCATTCACATATTCTTATAACAGGTTTCATAGCACAAAACATGTAAATCATATGTAAGGTATTTATTATTATCTCTTTATTAGTCTTATTTTCGTTATTTATCTTTTTGTCATATGTTATTGCATCAATTCCTCTTAACCAAGCTATATACACATCATCATATCACATATATCACTTCACACCATAAAGATTACAAACCAATCATATACTATTATGCAAGGTTCTTTTATATTATTTCCTTTATTAGCCCATGTACACATGTGAGAACCATAGATATGCGAGTCTATAGAGGTTGTGCACTAATGCTGTCACCACAGCTCGTATAATTGCACCGAAGTGCCACGTAGAATTGCACCGGAGTGCCGCGTAGAATTGCACTGTAGTGCCATATAATAATGTCCATAAGGACCACATATCATTCCTTAAGAATCATATACATATACTAGGGATCAAGTGTGTGTCTCACAAGACTTCACACATGTTCCAAAGAATATATATATATCCCGAAGGACTACGTAGACCCTCGACTCTTGGCATGCCAACTATACCCCAAAGCTCTCAAGACACATAACATGGGCATTAATATTTATGTTAACATACATTCACATATACACATAGTCTCATAGTTCTTTCACATAGCTCATTGTTATATAAATCACATATCACATATACATATAGACACATGATTCACTTACGCGTAGAACATTTTCATATAATTCACATATCACAAAGCTTATCACATATAATTGTATTCTTTTCAATATAATCACATAATCATATTATATTTCATATGACATATACTTTCTCTTTCATATATCTCATGTCAAGTATCATATCTTGTAATCATGTAATCATGTTACTTATCATCACATAACTTCTACTCATACGGTTCAACATCATTAAACTTAGTTCACTTTTTCATATTATCATACATTTATATAACCTTATATGTCCTATCAATAACCTATAAACTTACTCATATACTCATATATACTCTTTAATATAATTTGCATAGCAATGCTCTATAATTGTATCATATAATGAGTTTACCTAAGTCTTCCTTTATAAAGTTTATACTACAAGTTCAAATAGTCTCATTCTATCCTATACATAATTTCTACTTATCATATCTTACTTCCCCTTTCACTCACATAAATCATATATATACTAGTTTTATCTATTTATTTAATTCAATTTCCCATGACTTCTATAATACTCTTTCATAAAGTTTTGTAATTCTTCACTTTATAATTCATAAACTGTAGTTTCCTTTAAGTATATACATCTTCCCTATAAAACTTATGTATCATTACTTATGTTTATGCCCTCAAATTTATACTATCCTCGTAGAGTCTCTTAACCTTTCTCATGTAATCACTTATACCATATAATATGACTTATACTTGGTTATCTTATATTCATATATATATATATCAATGATTAATTAACTTGTAGCTTATTTCATATATTCATTTCAGTCCTTATGTTTTTATCATACAACTTATTTCATGTTATTCTATTATTACATAATAGTGTTTTACACAAATCATATATATATAAAGTATATCAATATCTTTAGTCATGCATACATACAATTAATGTAATACATATAATCACATATAATCATAACAAACACATAATCATGTTCATGACTTCATGCATATTACTCTAGGAAATGGACTCATCGCATGTCTTATTTCCATTAAACACTACATGTTACTAGTATGCACTCACCTAGCCTCACTAGTCAATACAAATCTCTTATCTTTCCCTTTTATCGATCTTACTTGACAATGATTCCGAAACTCGTTCAGGCTCTGAATCTACATAATTATACATTTTCAAGACAATTATTAGATACCTACATCTTGTAATTCGATACTAACAACTTAAACGAACTTAATAAACCAATATTCTTTTCTTCCTTTAGGGGGGAATCGGTTCCCTCCTGTGGGGGTATCGGTTCCCCCATGACATTCTGTAAATTCTGGTTCGTTTAAGGGGGTATCGGTTCCCCTTGAATGGGTACCGATTCCCCTAGCCCAGAAATCACATGTTGAGCTCGAAAATCACTTCATTTTCAGCTCAACACTTCATATTTCACTATATTTAATATTCCTAACTTTCATATACATACTTAAACTAATTAATTTTCATTCAATACCTATTTAACTTAAAAGTTCACTCATCCACATAGCATTCAAGAATTATACCAAATTTTCTATATGTTCTAAATCCAATTCTATCACTCCAAATCTCTTAATTTAACCATTGACAAGTCAAATTCAAATTCACAGTATATTAACTCCCTCTATTTCAATAATTCACTTAAAAACTCTTCACATTTAATCCTTCATAACTCATTCATTTTGGAGTTTAAACATGCTTTAATCTCTAAATAATCTTTCTTATCACCCCAAGAATCAAAACTAAGTTTAAAACTCAAGAATTAACCAGTTGAAATTAAACTTACCTTTGCCATGGAGCTTACGGGAAGAGAAGAAGAAGAAGGTTGAACCAAAGTCTCCAGACTTTTCTATTTTTCATCCCTTTCCACGTGTCATCTCCTATATAAAGGAGAAATAAAAATCTTTCTTATGGAATTACCATTATACCCTTCAAATTTTCCAAAAATTACCATTTAATCTAACACTGAAATTTTTCTATTTAAATCCTTGAACTTTTAACTTGTTTCGAAACCGAGCATATAGTTTTCAAAATTTGCAATTTAGTCACTGACCCTAATTTGGGATATTACAGTTTATGGCTGTTTGAATCTACTCGTTATGCAACGTTCCACTAACGACTATAATTTTCAAATTTGAGGTGGTGAGTTGTCGAATTAAGATTTTGATATAACAATAAATTATAAAATTAATTTTGAACTTAATAGAATTTATAAAAAAAATTATCGAAAATAAGTCAAAGCCCAAATTAACTTGAAATTTATGTTTTAAATGTTTTTCAACTTAGTGGAACCTTTTCAAAACCAAACTCGATCGTTTTTGTGCTTTAAAGTTAAGTTTCCAAGGATTTTTGGCTCAAAGGATTGATCACCTAGCAAAAAGGTCAATCCCTTTAACCAAATGATCGATCCCCTTAAAAAAGGGTTGATCCTTTGGATTCCAGTGAGTTTGGGATCGACCCTTTATCAAAAGGATGGATCATTCGAGAAAAAAGATCGATCTTTTCCCTTAAAGGATCAATCCCTTTGTTCCAACGGTCAAATTTTTTTGAAAAAGAATCGATTCTTCTCACCAAAAGATCAATCCCTTAAAATCCGAACATGGACTTGACCCACTTACTCAAATTATAATTTTTCTTTGAAAATGATAAAACAATAGAAAATAAATTTATATTAATGTTTTTGATTAAATTAAACAATCCATCTTGTACCGTGATATATTTAATTTAAAAAGATAAATTAACAAACTAATAACCTTTAAAAATATATTTTATTTAAAATAAAACATTCATAAAGATATTATTCATCTCCTATAGTAGTTAAAGGAATTATTGTTGTTTTTAGAGGTTATGGGTTTAAGCACCAGCGGCTGATTGAACATTCATTATCAAATAGTTGAAAGTATTTAAAATATATACTTCTTTGTAATTACCTTAGCTTAAGAATTGTCTGTCTAGCTCAGTTGGTAGAGAACAAGGCTCTTAACCTTGTGGTCGTGGGATCGAGTCCCACTGAGGGCAATTCATAACGGAGGTCTTCCACGAAAGCTGTTCTCAACCTGGAGTTGGGGGCAGCCTACTACCCTACCTCCCCTTTACCCCTATTACATATGGGAATAGGGTTAGCTAAGTTTGTAATTACCTTAGCTTAATAAAAATAATATGATTAGTTTTTATATTATCATTATCATATAATATTACAAAATCAAATAAAACAATATAATTTCAAAATTTTAACATTACCTTCAATAATGTAATATTCTCTAAATCAAATCCCATATTTATAGATGGGATCTGGGCAATTATTCCTATTGTATGATATAATAACTTATCATGTGTGCCCATGACACGTCACATGCACATAGAATATGTACATTTTACCACTACAGCAAAACTGTTCTGTAGCGGCATTTTTAGCGGCATTTGTTGATAAAACGCCACAAAAGTATTATATATAGCAGCGTTTTCAATCCAAACGCCACAAATTGAGACTTTAGCGGCGTTTTTTGTGAAAAGGCTGCAATAGAGTATAAATATAGCGCCGTTTTTATTAAAAACGCCTCCATAGGATGGTATATAGTGGCGTTTTTTTAACAAACGCCGTAATTAATAATAGTTTTTGCGTCATTTTTAGACAAACGCCACAGAAAGGTTAAACAATAGCGGCGTTTATAGTAAAAACGCCGCAATATAGTAGATATGTAGCGGCGTTTTAGCTAAAATGCCGCAATATATTTAACATTTAGCGTCGTTTATACCAAAAATGCCGCAATAGAGTAGTAAAATAGCGGCGTTTTTTGTATAAACGCCGTAAAAAACATGCGATATAGTGGCGTTTGTTAAAAACGCCGCAAAATGTTAAATATATTGTCCTCCCTTTTCTCCCACCCAAACCCTAAAATCATTTCAACTCTTCTTCCTTCATAGTTTCTTCTCTGGTACAACAACGACCCTCACACGATTCCAAGTGACGTCGTCTTTTGTCTATCCCGGTGACCAAATCGGCCCTCTCACCGACGAACTATAACACAATTCCACGGTTTGATCCCTCTTATCACTAATGATATTTTTCAATTTTGTTTTGGTTGGTATTCTGAAAATGGGGAAAACCCAGAAAGCTAACAACTAACATATTTGAGAAAAAAAGAACAGGTCTTGCCTTGAGTAAGAGAAATTATCGTCGGAATGTCTACGTGGCGTCTTTGCTCTGACGATGGATCAAATTATCGCTGGGAGGCTATCGGTCCGGTTTCGCCGTCGAAACTCGATGATGACTCGACAGGAACTCATATTGCTCCATACCCTTCCATGGTCGATCTCCTACTTGAAGGTAAAATTCTATGAATCTTTATGCCGCTATATTTCCCTTTTTGTACGGTCACTCAAATTTCATAGATCGTACGCATGTAGGATCTTCGAAGCTTATTGAGAATGATGATAGAGAAATGGATAAATACCCTATGTTTAGAAACGAATTTGGTAACTCTGTGGCGTTGAAAGAATCTTCAATTGGAAAAGCAGTATCGATCCTCAATGAAGACGATGTTGCCTCTACTGTTACTCCAAGTAAGCGTTTATATCATCTGTTTAAATATATTTTAATGTTTGATTCAATTCCCAAGCACCTCCAATCAAGTTTTATACTGTAGGTGGAGGGTCGTTATCTGTTTCAAGTGGAGGGTCGTTATCTGTTTCAAGTGAAGCACTAAAGCGTGCAAGGAGTCTTCTTGGTGAACCGGAGGTAGGAGATTTATTTGGTGAAATGGATGAAGAGTTTCTCCATATAGAATTTACACGAGGAAAAACTTAACGATGCGTCGTCAAACAAGGAAAACATCTTTCCTACGTCCTTTCCCTACGAAGGAGCAATGAAGACTAAATTGTACTGAACAATATGGTGAAGACTGTTTATGCATAAGTACTTTAATGTTTCTAAATTATAATGTATGTTGAAGACTGTTTATGCATAAGTACTTTAATGTTTCTAAATTATAATGTATGGTGAAGACTGTTTATGTATAAGTATTTTAATGTTTCTAAATTATAATGTATTTTATTGTTAAGTAGTTTTATGCATAAGTACTTCTGTCTTAATTAAAATGTATGGTTGTAACTTTAGGTTATGTATAGAAGAAATGAAATATTTAAAATATGTTAATCTTATATAAATAAAGGTATTTAGCGGCGTTTGTATCCAAAAACGCCGCTATATATTACACATTTTGTGGCGTTTTTAGATATAAACGCCGCTAATGAGTAGTATAATAGCGGCGGTTTTTTACAAACGACGCAATAGGTGTATTATATAGTCGCGTTCTTATAACAAACGCCGCAAAATATTTGTATTTTATTGGCGTTTTTAAATAAAAACGCCGCAAAAATTGTTTATTAATGGCGTTTATAACAATCGCCGCAATAGGTGTACTATATAGAGGCGTTTTTTACCAAACGCCACAATATATTTGAATTGTTACAGCGTTTCTAGACACCAACACCGCAATATATATGGACATTAGCTGCGTTTATTAAAAAAACGCCCCAATAGAGTATAACTCTAGCTGCGTTTGTATTACAAACGCCGCAATTGTTACTTAAATCCTGCGCGAGCATTTCCCCCTTCAAATCTCATTCTAAACCTAATTTCATCGAAAAAAATGCTCCCCGTTGCCATTCGAATCCGCCACCACCTACATCGTCGCTGGTGGTATGTTCATCGACCATTGTTTTCCCTCTTCCTTTCTCGACTTCGTTTCCCCTTTTAGAGATTTTTCTTCTTCTAGGAAAACAGCTCGCGTTTGTTTCTATTTCCTCACCTCTCCTCGATCTAACCACCAAAACACCGTGAATCCCATCTCATCTTCACTCTCCGTTTGATTCTGTACACTTTTTGAATTTTGTGTTCGAAATGTATTTCCTATTTTTTGATTCAATTGTTTCCCCCGTGTACTCAAGTTTGTGATCTGATCCTGGATTTTATTGTTCTAGCTTGATCTGGGAAAGTTATACGATTAGTTCGGAATCTGCTTCGATTCTTTGTTTTGGGGCGTTGAGATGGCGGGGCAAAATCAGGATCAATTCAGATCTTACTTCAGGAAAGCAGATTTAGATGGGGATGGCAGAATTAGTGGAGTTGAGGCTGTTTCTTTCTTTCAAGGATCCGGTTTGTCCAAACAAGTCCTCGCTCAGGTCCCTTTATCTCTCTCTCTCTCTCTCTCTCTCTCTCACACACACACACACACGTTTCATTTTCTATTAGAATCGGGATTTCTGGGAACTTACCGAATTTAGGTTAGATTGCATTTGATTGTAACATGGTGAAATTTCTCAATAAACGTAAACATTTTATAGCTGTTTTTCTCTTGTACAATTATCAGTCTGCTTCTTCAGATTTCTCTTGACCAACTTGTCCATTGCTTATGTGGAATTTGTTCCTTTTACTAGTTACTACGTCAATAATTTTTCAAATGGATAAGGTTTCGATTGTACTGAGATACATGTCTTGCTGGCTGAAGTTACAATTGACAATAGAACATAATTAATTCGTTATAGGAACTTTTTCTAGTTATTTTGTGACTATGTTTCTTATGGATGCTTTAAATGTTTAAACTTTCCTTTGCTAGCCGCTGAACCAGTGACCGTCAGTTTGTTCTAGATTTTATTAATGTACTGCCTGTTAAACAAAACTTGCATACAAGAAAGGAGAGGCTACAAGTCAGTGGTTTGTAGACCAGTACATTTATAGTTTGAAAGAATAGAAAAAAATGAAGAATCATTTTTAATTCTGATGAAATAACAGATGCAATGCCTTCAGCCTTGTTGTACTTTCTGTCGCATTTGGTGGTCGATGATGGATTTTCACACAGTGAATGGCATAGTTTAGGGATTAGAAATTTTAATTTCTAGATTTTTATGTTGGATTAGTACACATCTAGATGTTATACATGCTCTATAGTGATTCATGTACCCTATACCCCTTTTTTGTATTAATTTATTAAAGCAAGGAGTTTAATATTATGGGTTCATTCATATTGTTTTATCCAATGATTTCAGATATGGACATATGCTGATCAAAGCCATAGTGGTTCCCTAAGTAAGCCAGAGTTTTTAAATGCTCTCAAGCTTGTGGCTGTAGCACAAAGGCGTGAATTAACACCAGACATTGTTAAGGCAGCATTATTCGGTCCTGCTGCAGCAAAAATTCCAACGCCACAAATTAATTTTCCTTCTACATCCGCTCCACAGATGGGTGCAGTTATGCCAACATCCTCTTCAATTCCTGGGTTCAGAGGACCAGGAGCTCCAAATGCTGGTATGGGCCAGCATCAGTTCCCTTCTGTTGAAAACATTTTGATATTTCGATATAACAAATTAAGTTAAATGAATTTTAAGATTTTCCAAAATGATTTTCTAAAGTATGTTCGATAAATTTATTCGAATATAAAAACATTACTCCAAATATTTCAAAAATCATTTTTAATCCTTACTTAAGTGTAAAATTAAGTTTTAATCTTAAAACAATTTCAAAATAATCTTTCAAAGTATTTCGAACCATTTCAAACCCAAAATTTCCAGATTGCTCAGAGGGAACCGATTCCCTCCCATAGGGGGTACCGATTCCCCCCTGAATGGTTTGACTCCGAGATTTCCAGAATGGAAATTTGATAAACTTTTCGAACTTGAACCCATTGTCTATCATCAACTTGTTCGTATCTTCTACTGTAATGCCGTTTGTATCAAAAATCGTGACAAAACCAAAACCATAGGAGTGCGTTCCTACCTCCTAGGTCAATATTTCCATCTTGATCATGATTACATAGCCAATGCCTTAGGCTTGGACAATGAAGGTTTATCAAACGAAAAACAAGTTTTAGGCTCACGATATAAACGGAATGATAGTGCAAGTGTTTTAGATCTCCATGAGCGTTTTCTTCATCTTATGATCACTTGGTGGTTTCGACCATCCGGGGGTCGTTATTCTACTCTTAGAGCTTTAGACCTTTGGTGGTTGCATTGTTTTGAAAACAATATAAAAATAAACCTTTCCGAGATTATCTTTGCTGAGATCGTTGAAACCGTTAACTTAGTGCCAAATAAGAAACTCTGTTCTTCACTAGTTTACGGTTGTATCCTTAGTAATCTCTTTTCTAAAGCCGAACTCCGAGTTGGTCTAGATGCCTCATTTCCTCTTAAGAAACAAATCAATCTTCTTTCTTTAACAAGAGCGGGATGGGTCAAAAATAAGGAAACCGGTGCATGGGTTCGATCTTCTACTCCGGGAGCTAGTTCTTCACAAGCTCCACCCGAAGCTGACGAAGATCCCGAGTTTGAACAATTAATGAGGGATATCGATGAAGCTGAAGAAGAACCTGAACAACCCGAGGAGCACGCACAACAATCGACTCAAATGCCTCCATATTTTCAATCCTTTATGGAGACATTTGATTTCCGTTATGCGACAATGGATTCGCGCTTTTCCTCTATAGAGTCTCATTTATCCACAATGGGAGCTCAACAATTAGAGATTCTTCAGGAGATGCGTGCAAACAATGAAGCAACCAATGCTCGTATTAATGAACTAACTCATGAAATAGCTGCTATGCGAGCCCGTTTTCCTCCTACCGATCCGGATGCTTGATTTTGTGTTTAGCTTTAAAACTTTGAACAAAATGAATATTGTTTCAACATTTTGAATTGTTTGATTTTGTGGATTGTTGGATTTTGGATTTATGGATAGTGTGAACTTATATGTTTGGTGTGTTTTATTCGTTATTGCATCATTATTAGCAATATGACCAATTTTGCCATATCACATTATTTATGAATATTGATTACGGAACTAATGGCTAACGTTTCTCTTAATTGTGATCTTAGCAGCTTATGCATACATATACCTAATCAAATGGCTTAATATTTTTCACGTTTATTTGAATCTTTTTGATTTAACAAAAAGGGGGAGAAGAAGTGTGTTTAAGTATGTGTTTTTAAAATGATAAATGGGAGAAGTGTTAAAGTGTGTGTTTTTAAAATGATAAATGGGAGAAGTGTTAAAGTAAGGGGGAGTAATTTCAAAACTTGATTTCAAAATCTTAAAATTACTAAAATGTTTTGTTATATCAAAAAGGGGGAGATTGTTGAAAACATTTTGATATTTCGATATAACAAATTAAGTTAAATGAATTTTAAGATTTTCCAAAATGATTTTCTAAAGTATGTTCGATAAATTTATTCGAATATAAAAACATTACTCCAAATATTTCAAAAATCATTTTTAATCCTTACTTAAGTGTAAAATTAAGTTTTAATCTTAAAACAATTTCAAAATAATCTTTCAAAGTATTTCGAACCATTTCAAACCCAAAATTTCCAGATTGCTCAGAGGGAACCGATTCCCTCCCATAGGGGGTACCGATTCCCCCCCCTGAATGGTTTGACTCCGAGATTTCCAGAATGCTCGGAGGGAACCGATTCCCCCATAGGGGGTACCGATTCCCCCCTGTTCAACGGTCGAAATATTTGAATTTTACACTTAGGGAACCGATTCCCCCACGCTCCAAGCTGTTTTATTAATTGTTTTCACACTAAAACGGCTATATTATCTTCATTAATTATCCCCAACGTTCAGAAGTGATTCAATGTGTATTTAAACAAGTTCTGAAGCCCTTGATCAGCAAGAAATCATAGAGAAACAAGAGAGAAAGCATCAAACACAAAGTTTGTGCAATTCAAGCCAATTTTCATTCAATATTCATTTTGCTTTCAAAGAACACTTATTGTGCTCATTTGTAATTTTCTTTGAGTGTTCTTTTCTTGTTCTAGAATTGTGCAAACATCTTACCTTGTGAGGTTTTCTTGTAAGTTTGCAAATTTGTAATATTCTCTTTGGGAAAAAGAGTGTTCTCAAGAGTTGGGGTATACTCTTGAGGGAATTGTAAGGTTATCTCTTTGGCCTCAAAAGAAAGAACAAATTAGTGAATTTGTTGGAAAATCCTTAGTGTGGATAGCTAAGGTAGTGGACGTAGACTTTATTTGAGAGAGTCGAACCACTGTAAATCGCTGTGCAATTACTTTCAATTTTCTGCAAAAGCTTCCACAAAAATTTTAATTGCCAATTCACCCCCCTCTTGGCCGATTCCGTCAATCGATTAACTCAACACCTTCTCAACAAAACATGTCAATGAGACCCCCACAAACCATGCCTACTGCACCTGCCCTGCGTCCTCTTCATCAACACTTGCTATGGGTTGGCTAGATATCGTGGTATGTGTCTGACAAACTAATGTGGTTTTATAGCTTAATAAAATTATGAAAGCATGTTAGGTTCTTTTTTTTAGTGGAATTTTATGATTGGATGCAGTTTTATATTTTCACATGCAAGTTAAAATGTTGAGCTTGCATGGATCTTATCAATTAGATCAACTCAGCAATCGCGAGGTTGGTAAGAGATTAATTATTATGCATTGCATCCAAAAGATGTAGCTCTATTTACCTTTAGTTTCATTGAAACATTTTAATAGTTAAGAGGTTCGTGCAAGTCTTTGTTCAGTTATTTGACTAAAATGTGTTTTAACTTGGAAACGATTGTTGTTATTATGCTAGTTCTGTTTTTGGTTGTTTCAACTAAGTAGTTCCATATATTCTTTGCATTTCCATCCGTCAAGCTTTTCACCTATTCACTTTTCTAAAGGTGTTCTGGTTTTAGTGTGCTCACCAGTAGACTCATCAGGGTTTAAGAAGTATGTTACAAATAATGTTGGGTAATGCTAATAGTCTCTGCTCTGTAACATGCCATTGGATAGAATTGTATATTTCTCACTTGTTATACATCAGACCATTCACAGTGGTATGTACTTTCCTTGTATTACATATCTCGTTTATTTATTTTCTTCTGTTAGGGGTTAGAAAGCATGTACAGTTTGGCACAGAAAAGCATTCAATTGAAACAAATGGCCTCTGTACATAAGTTGATGGGGCTTATAATTAAAATTCTTGGGGAAAATACTGAGGTGACAAATGGGGATAAAATATTAATTTACAATCTACGTTAAATTCTCTTTTTGCTTCCTTATCTTTAAGTTAGATTGTGCTTTTGTCTGTTCTCAGGTTGTTTTAGCAGAATGCTTGAAAGGATTTGGTCCTTGGTAAGCTGTCATATTTCCATCTTTATATCTTTCTGTTTGTTAGGAATGCAGTTTTGGAGCCTTTTTCTGGGTGCTATTGATTTAAAATATGTTTGGTCCGATAAGTTGTTAGAAGTTATCATGAAATTCAAGCTTGGATGTTTCTGGACAATTATTAAGATATATCTCTATATTTTGCTTATCATCATGAAGGTTGCCCATGCCATAGAGTTGTTGACTGCTGGGACTGACCATGCAGAAATGTGTTGTTAACTTTTTTAACGTAAGATATAATGGATTTTCATATAAACTGATGATTTATTTGGATATGAAACTAGAGATCAGGTTTGCATTGCCATGGATGGGGCCTTTTCAAGTGGCATTCCAATTGGAGTAAGACCTCATGAAGCAAAATATCTGTGCAAGAAATGACAGGACGATACTAGCTCTGCATCATTGTTTTCCCATATAAACTGGATTTATCTATTTGAATTTAAGCGCCTCATTGTGACGAAGAGTTTTGAAGAATGTGTAAGATTAGAAACAAAATATCTTAGATATTATTGTTTATTATAGTTAATAATGTTGAACTACATTATATTTTACGTTAATGTAAACTTTGATTTATTATTATGGATTTCATTTTTCTTGTTATGGATTTTAAGTTTGTTGTTATGGATGTCAAGTTTATTGGAAAATGCTACAGGTTAAATTTGGGTAATAAAAGAGTAGAAAACAACATTTGACAAATTAGTTTTAATTTGCAAAATCAATTTCTTTTAGCTATAGAGAGGTAATTAGCGGCGTTTGTATCTTAAAACGCCGCTATAGATATGATATTTTGCGGCGTTTGTTCTAAAAAACGCCGCTATATACCAGATCTTTTGCGGTGTTTGTGAGAAAAACGCCGCTAAATCTGAAGACCTATTGCGGCGTTTGTGGGAAAAACGCCGCTAAATATTAACACCTATTGCGACGTTTGTTGGAAAAATGCCGCCAAATATCAACACCTATTGCGGCGTTTGTCCAACAAACGCCGCTATATATCGTTACCTATTGCGGCGTTTTTTGTTACCAAACGTCGCGAACTTTAGCGACGCTATTTGCATCGGCGCTTTTTGCGGCGTTTGTCATAGCGCCGCAGGTTTTTTTTGCGGCGCTTAAAAACGCCGCTATAGGTAAAAAAAACGTCGCAAATGTACAGTTTTGCTGTAGTGTACGTAAATTTTTAGATAAGATCAATTTATGTGTTTATCTATACATATAAAATTCTAACTAATTGTCGCTTAAATCGTAAATTGGTGTAGTAAAATAAGAAAGAAAAAGAGGATTGTATGAAAACGAGAAGAAATAATTGTATTATTATCTCGATTTGAATCGTGTATAATTTTTTTTATGGTGAATAAAAGTAAAACTTAACTAGATCAAAACTAACAAAATCACGAACTCGTCTTTGCTCCTTCTTCCTGGAGAATTGATTGAATAGCCTCTGGAGGCGTTTGGAATATTCGACCTGCAAATTCCTTCTTTTGTGCCATCTTTGCTAAGCTGTCAGCTATCTTGTTCGCATCCCTTCAAATATGCTTTATTTCTACCATCCATTGTCTCTCCAGCAGATCACGTATGTGCATGATGATAGTAGGTGACGTTGCCTTTGGCGAACTCCGGGTTAATAATCTATATTCATCAGCAATATCCGTCTCTAGTATCACCTGTTTTTTTCAAATGCACCCCAAAGTTCTGCCTCAAGAGCCGAACATATCCCCACTGCTTCTGCAAATCCAATCAGCCAGTCTCCATTGCTATCTCGAATCGCTCCCCCACATGCTGCATAACCATCTTGTATGTCTCTTGCCCCATCTATATTGGTCTTCAACCATGCAGACGGTGGAGGTATCCATTGAGGGTCGCTTTGTTCCTTCCAGGTTCCCGGTTGCTGAGCATTATTGGCCGATTCCCTTGCTCGTATGCTTTCCTGCTGTAATCTTCTACCTTGGTCTAAAACTGAAAATTCGTTTTTCTGGTTCGAAAATGTGTATATTCCTGTGTTTCCAAAGAGCCCATACTATGGAGCCAAACAAAAGGTCTCAGTCTTTCGCATCTATCGCAAAACGTTCTTGTTTTTCCAAATTTCCAGGGCTGTTGGGCACATTCGTAGAACATGGTCGATTGTCTCTTCCGCCGCTCCACATATGTCGCAATTGGCCCGTGTACTCATATGTCGACGTACTCGCTCACTATTTGTGAAGACGCTTTTATTAGCAATAAGCCATAAGAAGATTTTTACTCGTTGTATTCCTCGATACTTGGGAATTGTTGTCCATGTTTTATCTTCTGCACTTAAGGTATCGTCTGTGTGGATATCATATGCTGATCGAACCGTAAATAGTCTGTTTGGATTCCATTTCCATCCTGGCCTATCGGTGATCTGGTTTTGTTTTGGTGGCATGGTTGCCATAAGTTGGTGTAGTATCTCCTGGGGAAGTAACGTCTCTATTAGCGGCCACTTCCATTGTCCTTGTTCATCCACCATGTCCGCAACGGTTATGAGCGGTTATTTCGATGCCAAGTTCGGATTACTTACCTGGTTTATTAAAGGTTCGTTATCACTTAGCCAAGGTTCTTTCCAAAAATCAATGGAGTTTCCATTTCGGATAATCCATGTCAGACTCGATCGTACATCGTTCCATATTAGACTGATTCCTCGCCACAACCTCGAGTATTTTTTTCTGGATATGTCCTCTCGAACCATGTCATTCCATTTATATTTGGTTCCCAGCACTTGAGCCCATAGTTGGTTCGGATATAGTACGAGATTACAAGCAATCTTCTTGAGGAAAGCATCATTTTGTTTTCCCAGTTTCTTGAAGCCGAGTCCCCCCTTTCTGCAGGAGAGCAGATTGTGTCCCATTTAATTAGACTAATTCCTTGCTTCTCATGTGTTTTACCCCATAAGAATTGACGAATCACCTTCTCAATTTCAGCACAAGTGCCTTTGGGTAGCATGGTGGATTGCATCGAGTAAAATGGAATCGTCGATAAAACGGCTTTAGCCAAAGTAATTCGTCTTGATCGGAACACAAGCTACCATCTCGAGTCTTGAGTGATTGAATGTAATTAGTTCTCCTTCTTGACATATCAGATACCATATAGAACTCCAAATCTAATGAACATTTAATATTTTTTTAATCTAAATACTTGAGTTTCTTAATTTTATTTATTATTTTTTTTTTATAAATTCTAAATATAATTATAGTTTCGTCTAGAAGGAAGAGAAATGATAAACTTTAAGAAAAGAAAAAAAAAAGGTAACGAACCAAATGTGCTTGCTCAATTTAAATTTATTATTATTATGATTGAATTAATTTTAATTTTATATAATTTATTTATCTAAATCAAGTAAATGTTATGTCCGTAAAATATAATTATTGCAACGTAATATTTTTTTAATGATTTATTTTATTAATATAGGATGGTTATAAGAGATATTATTTATTTTAAAGATTTTTAATTATTTAACAATGTATCTTTAAATACTTTGTAGTTGTTGGACTCAAACGTGAGATTTATAGGGATAACAAACCTATTTTACTTAAATTTTTGACTAAAAATATTTAAAAATAAGAATAAAACTGATAATATTTTTATTTAAGACTGACATCATTGGTTCTCCGCCGCATAAACCGTCATGTGCTTCGCCTTAGACATCCGCCACGTGTCCCATTAAAGTTAACGTTTTTCTTTATTGTTTTTATAATTCCATTCAGCCCCGGCCACCTGTAATTTCCAGAACCATCAATTTACAGAAATCCTTTTAACGTTTTTCAAAGATTTTCCCGACGACTTACGCTATGTTGAACACATTTTTTGTTCCGTCTACTTTTGTAGTGTAGTAAAAAACTTGAAGACAAATCCAAAACCAATTTTTTTATTCTGTTTCTTCTTCTCTTCGTTTTCGTTCCACCATAAATTTTTGCAGATAAGCTTCCAATTAAAAAAATATCAGTTTTTTCCATCACCATACACCTTGCCCTTATATTTGTTTTTCTGGGTAATTGTGTTTTAAATTGATTTCGTTTTTCCAGAACATTAGTGTAGAGGAGAAACAAAACTCCGGGTATTTAACCCTTTTTTTTCCTGTCCATGATCTGTTCATCAACTAGAACGATTGTGATACCCGGAGGAACTAAAATTTACAAACATTCTCATTTGCATGTGAAAACGAACGTTCTCCATTTGAAACCCAAGTTTGTATACAAGGATTTCAATCGTTTAATCTCGTCCGCTTTCAAAAGAATGGCGGTGGAGCCTTTAACCTCAGGCGCGAGTGGTCGTATAAACGCGCTGTTCTCTTTGCGTGCTTTGAGGAGTCTCTTGTTGGTTTTGAATGCCGTCGTTTTGATGCTTCTTTTGCCGTTCCGGGGAACGATACGTGCCTCCGTGATCGGTTCCGGGGAGAATGTGGGGAGGGAAGAGAAACAGGAGAGCCGGAGGAAAGGGTGTTCGTCTTCGTCGGCCGTGGTGAGGGTTCCGGTGGCGATGTTGCCACGTAGGAGCGCGGCGGTGGTTGTGGACCAGGAGGCTGCCGCGAGGCGGTCGCTGGCGATTCAGAGGGTGGTTCAGGACGATGATGACGAAACGGTGAGGGAGTTTTCGCTGGTCACTAGTGCAAGAGGTGACACGCTATTCACCCAGTCTTGGACTCCAGCTTCAGTCATAGTCAGGTCGGTTCCAATTAAAAACAGTAATTTGCTCACTTTTGTTTATGCTTATGCTAATGGTTTCTTCTCAATTTAATTTAATTACTTAGAAAATAGCTTAGGGATGCCGACTGAAGCCTGCAGAAATGGTTGAGTTTCCAATGACACTATTGGTTAAAACCATGGATGAAAGGAAATGTCTTGTTTCTATTTCTGCCCTATTAATCCCAGTCCCTGCAGCTGGAGGGTGCCCAAAAGATTGCTCTCTCTTTGTTTTTAATATTATGGTGTGATTACAAGGTATTATATGTTTTAATCTTTTTTAGTTATTGACAACTAACACACCTATAACCTGCTCAATCCCGTTTCGGAGAATAACCTTTCTTTTTATCGCGAGGCCA